ACACCAATTACCTGAAGGGATAGAAAAGAAGGAGAAGAGGGAAGGGAAAGTGAGAAGTTATTAACTTCTTCAAATCTTGTTGGATTTTTCCACTTGTATAATCATCACATGTTATCTTTTTGATTAAAAACCAATGAGGAGATCCAAGATGGCCGATTACTAGCAGCTCAGGATTGTAGCTCCCAGTGAAAGCACAGAGGACGACAGGACGACACACTTTGAGATTTTTTTTTTTTTTTTTTGAGACGGAGTTTCGCTTTTTGTTACCCAGGCTGGAGTGCATTGGCGCGATCTCGGCTCACCGCAACCTCCGCCTCCTGGGTTCAAGCAGTTCTCCTGCCTCAGCCTCCCGAGTAGCTGGGACTACAGGCATGCACCACTATGCCAAGCTAATTTTTTTGTATTTTTAGTAGAGACAGGGTTTCACCATGTTGACCAGGATGGTCTCGATCTCTTGACCTCATGATCCACCCGTCTCGGCCTCCCAAAGTGCTGGGATTATAGGCGTGAGCCACCGCGCCCGGCCAGATGAATTTTTGTTGCTCACGGACCAGGAGGTTCCCAGCGGAGGAGCCCCAAGTGTCGCCAGCATGACTCTTGTGGCCAGCTCAGCGCTTTTGCCGCCGCCTCGGCGCCGCAGTTCTCGGTGCAGAGTAAACGGGACTGGGTCCCCTCCTGGTCTACGTTTGGAGCTCCGGGAAGGCAGAGTCGCCCATTCAGCTGATTGAAAAAGGGACTCAAGTGGGAAGCCAGACCGGAGATTCCCAGGCAGAAAAACACCATGAATCTTAATGCTGTTGTTTTAGCTGGCACAGTGGGTTGCTCAGATTCCAGTGCTGGGAATCAACAAGTTTCACGTCCACTCAGAGACCTAATTTGAAAGTCAGTAATTACAAAGATGACAGGTGGATAAATTTACAATGATGGGAAGAAACCAGCGTGAAAAGGCTGAGAATACACAAAATCAGAATGCCTCTCCCTCTACAGGGGATCACAGTTCCTCATCAACAAGGGAACAAGGCCTGATGGAGAAAGAGTGCGTTCCAATAACAGAATTAGGCTTCAGAAGGAGGTGGTTAGTAAGAAACTTCTGTGAGTTAAAAGAACATGTTCTAGCCCAACGTAAAGAAACTAATAACATTGAAAAAAGGTTTGATGAAATCCTAACGAGAATAGACAATTTAGAGAGGAATATAAGTGAATTAATGGAACTGAAGAATACAATAAAAGAACTCCGTGAAGTATGCACAGGTTTCAACAGTTGAATTGATCAAGCCAAAGAAAGGATATCAGAGGTCAAAGACCAACTTAATGAAATGAAATGAGAAGACAAGATTAGAGAAGAAAGAGTAAAAAGGAATGAGCAAAGTCTCCAAGAAATATGGGACTATGTGAAAAGACCTAATTTACGTTTGATAGGTGTACCTGAATGTCATGAAGAGAATGAATCCAAGCTGGAAAATATTCTTCAGGATATTATTCAGGAAAACTTTCCTAACCTAGTAAGGCAGGACAATACTCAACTCCAGGTAATACAGAGAACACCACAAAGATACTCCCCAAGTAGACCAACCCCAAGACACATAATCGTTAGATTCACAAGGGTTGAAATAAAGGAGAAAATTCTAAGGGCAGCTAGAGAGAAAGGTCAGGTTACCCATAAAGGGAAGCCTATCAGACTCACAGCAGATCTCTGAGCAGAAACCCTACAAACTAGAAGAGAGTGGGGGTCAATATTCAATATCCTCAAAGAAAAGAGTTTTCAACCCAGAATCTCATATCCAGCCAAACTAAGCTTCATAAATTAAGGAAAAATAAAATTTTCGTGAACAAGCAAGCACTCAGATATTTCATCGCCACCAGGCCTGCTTTACAAGAGCTTCTGAAAGAAGCACTATACACAGAAAGGAACAACCAGTATCAGTCATCCCAAAAACTTACCAAAGGGTAAAGAGTATCTCCATAATGAAGAATCTATATCAACTAATGGGCAAAATAGCCAGCTAGCATTAAATGACAATATTAAACTCACAAATATCAATATTAATCCTAAATTTAAATGGATTAAATGCTTCAATCAAAGACACAGACAGGCAAATTGAATAAAAAGTCAAAACCCATTGGTACACTGTATCCAGATCCATCTCATAAGCAAGGACACACAAAGACTCAAAATAAAGGATTGGAGGAAGACTTACCAATCAGAAGAAAAAAAAAAAAAAAAAAACAGGAGTTGTAACTTTTGTCTCTGACAAAATAGACTTTAATAGTAACAAAGACTAAAAGAAACAAAGAAGGACATTACATAATGGTAAAAGGATCAATGCAACAACAGGAGTCAATGTTCATAAATATATATACACCCAAATTGGGAGCACCCAGATACATAAGACAAGTTCTTAATGACTTATAAAGAGACTTGGACTCCCACACAATAATAGCGGGAGACTTTGACACCACATTTTTAATATTCAACAGATCAACGAGATAGAAAATTAACAGGGACATCTATGATTAGAACTCAGACCTGGAACAAGTAAACTCAGTGAATATTTATAGAATTCTTCACCCCAGGTCCACAGAACATACATTTTTCTCAGTATGACATTACACCTATTTTGAAAGTGACCACATAATTGGAAGTAAATCGCTCTTCCACATTTGCATAGCATTCCACAGACTTAAATGAAATATTGGCTGGCTGTTTGTTTGTTATTTTCTTCCCTTTTTCCTTCCTGTCTCTGCTGTTAAGCACAATTATCGGCATAAAAGAGGTTTTCAACACCTATTTTTAGATTGCATTCCAGCCTGGGCAATAGAGCAAGATTCCTGTTCTCTCTCCCCCTTTCTCTTTCTTTCTTTCTTTCTTTCAAAAAAAAAAAAAAAACCCAAAAAACAAAGAAACAAACAAAAAAAAAGAGTTATTAAATTCATTTTAGGAATTGTTACAAGTTCATGACTGTGCTCTGAATGATAATCTGGCAAAACTAGAATGAGAATCCCTTAGACAAATAAAACATCTTTTAACTCATTCATTTATTGGTATATTCAACAAACATTTATGAGCACTGACTGTACACCACTTGCCCCTATGGTTAATATAAAAAAAAAACCAACAAAGAAAATAGTATTTTTTTTCTAGATAAATTCTCCTGTATTCCACCCTAAAAAATTCTCATTCAAAATCAAATTGACTTTCAATACTGAAAGAAACATGGTATGCTGTGGAATCAGACTAGGTGAATGTGTTTCCAAGTAAATTGCATCATATTTCATTCTTTCCATTTTTTTGTTCATATATGTGTGCTGTGGAACTTTTATATTTTAATATTTTTGTTTATTGACTCATTTTATAAAAACTAGCCTTGTTCAAGCAATGCATATATGAAGTCATGGTTTAATGCTGTAGTTACATTGCTAAAATACATATAGCAACTACAAAGTTACTGAAGTAAAAAGAACTATTTGACCTCCTACAGTTATTTAACATATCACACTTTGAAGAAATTGGAATGTGGAATTTAATAAACTAAGCATTAATCTTCCATTCCAAATTGTCAAGAAGCCAGAAGAGCAAAAGAACATCCCTAGGGAAGGTGTTAGGCTCAGCCTGGTTCCCACCCCCTTTACCCCTTTGTTCCACAAGTTAGGGTCACTTTGTCACTTTCTGCGTCCCAATCCTTACCCACTTTGGAAACTAGTCTTGACCTGGGGTGGCTTATTATTATTTGTGGACTTGGCGGTCTATACCTGCATGAAGCTAGGCTGGCGATGAGGCCTTAGTTCCCTAACTAGATGTGCATGAAACACACACACACACACACACACAAAGGGGAAGTCTTTAGGGCAAAAATAGACCTAGGTTTGTATTAATATTTCAGCTTGTTTATTCTTTGTGTGTGTCCTCAGCCAATATGGCTAATTATGATAAATATGATCTACAATTATGTGCTTTGTACTGTCTTTGATATACAGTATCTCATTTAAACCTTGTGTAATCCTCTGAAGAAGGTCCTCTTATTTTTCTCATTTTAACAGATGATGAAACTCAGAGAAAGGCCTGTGGTTACATAGCTAGTAAAACTGGCAGAGTCCACTGAACTTGAATTCAGATTTGGCAATGCTTTAATATCTGGTATCCAGCAGCTACATAACTTAATATTTCTCAGTGTCATTTCCTTATCTCTAAGCTGGAGATATTAATGCTCACTTCATAAGATTGTTCGGATGGTGACATTCACTAACAAGAGAAGTGCTTCCACATAGTTGATAAACAGTAGTTATGAGTCACTTCCCTGGTTCCTGAGAAACAATAAAAAAAAACAAACAGGGTCTAACCCTGTTGCCCAGGCTGGAGTACAGTGGTGTGATCTTGGCTCACTGCAGCGTTGATTTTCTGGGGCTCAAACCATCCTCCTGCCTCAGCCTCCTGAGTAGTTAGGACTATAGGCATGTGCCACCACACCCTGGTAATTTTGTTTATTTTTTGTAGAGATGAGGTCTCACTATTTGCACAGGCTGGTATCTAACTCCTGGCCTCAAGTGATCCTCCTGCCTTGTCCTCCCAAAGTGCTGGGATTACAGGTATAAGACACCATGCCCAGCCCTGAGAGGTAATTTTTACTAGTAGGCTTCTGCTTTGGTTTTTGTTTCTAAGTCACTGTTCTGATATCTCAGACACCCAACTTTCCCTGTAAATTGGCCTCCTTTCAGCCCCTGCAGGTGATCCCTGCCATCTCAAAGGCATCTTAATCTGTGAGTGTCAGCCTTGACCTTTTCTTCTCCTTCCCCCTCCACCCTGTTTCCCAGATGAATCCTGTGCTTTACAGGAAGGGTAGGAACACGTGACACTCATGCAAGTTGCCAAGTACTGAAGGAGTGTTTTAAAATACGCACATTTCCTTTCACCCTATAAGCAGCCCTGGTGTCTGAACTGGTTAGTTCCTCAGGCCCTTTGTACCAGCCTGGCTCCTCCAGTGCCTGACTGTGTGCATACCCATTTTTGAGGCCGGATAATAACCATCTGATACTCGGGCCAGGAGTCCACCAGCACCTCCAGGTTGAAGGGGTTCCCATGATTGATGTGATACACAGAGCCATACACCTGAAGGAGGGATGGAAAGGAATAGGAGAGGTTAAGATGTCCAGAGATGGGGATTTGGATGTGAAGAGGAAGAGAAAAACGGAGGTTAAGAGATGGTACTGGGACAAAGTCAGTGACGGTGAAATGAGCAGCATCTCCAGGACAATACTGATGGACGTGAAGTCACCAGCAAGCAGGTAGAACTCACAAGTAGGTGTCCTTGTGATACCAAAGAGCTACTGTGCACTAGTTGGGCACTTGGCAGTGCTCTTAAAACTTACATTGTGTGGATTTATTTAGTGTCCACAACAATTTTAAGAAGTAGGTGCTAATATTATTCCCATTTCATTGATAAAAAGATCAAAGGTAAAGGCATAGAAAGGTAAAGAAACATGCACGAAGCCATGCGACTAGAAAATGGCAGCCTAGGAATGCATATCCATCCAGTCTGGCTCCAACACTATGCTTGTAGTCACCATTCTCCACCGCCTCTCCAAATGAATGACAAAACCTGCAGAGTGGGCCTAGCTGCCTCTTCCCAAGGAGAAGTAGCAGCTCTTGACATGCCTCCTTCATCCCCAACCTCATCCTGTTTCCCAGCTTCAACCTTCTGCAGAAAGTCAGGAAGGACCAGAATCACGAGCCTGCTATTTTCTCATCCTCAACACCCCTCCTCCCATACCCCGACCTCCCACTATTCCCTGACCTTCAGGGACTCAGGGATGCTCCTGGCCAAGGATTTGTATAGGGCCAGCAGCTTCTGGGAATTATTCAGTAGGATCATTTTGTGGGATGCTTCAGTCCTTGAGTCCTTCAAGAAGAAACTCTGAAAAGATAAGAAGTGAAGGGAAAATGTTAAGAGACCAAATGAATTTAAGATGCACTTTATACATCTCCATTCAAATAGCACTCATGATGTAATTACTGTTAGTATCATCCTCATTCTGAATACACCAAAGCTCAGAGAGACTAAGAACATTTCTCAAGTTCTTACAGAGATAAATGCCAAAGTCAGATTTTGAAACCATATATGAATGGCTCCAAAACCCATGCCCTGCCTCTCTGGTGGAATGAATTAAAAGTGAATATTAAGAGTTCTGTGAGGTTCCCGAATGCCTGTAGTAGAACACTCTACCACCACCATCATCATAACCTTTTTCCTGTATTTTGGTCATCAGGTGCCTGAGAAGTCTTTCATCTGGAATAGAAAATATCAGCCCTCTAAGAACAGTTGTGACTGGAAAACTTAAGAGCAGGAATTGGCAAATATTTTATGTATTTAGTTTCTTAGGGCTAAATATTTCAGACCTATGGCCATTTTGGAAGTCGTTTCAGTTTGATTGCAAAAAAGAAAACATGGAAAAATTTTGACACCTATCTATAAACTTCTGTTGAAATAACATTCAGAATTAGAAATGTGCCAATAATTTACCAATAACTTGGAGAATGGTTATCATCACAACTGATAGGTTCAAAGCTTAGGCTGGTTTCAAATTTTAGTTCTGCCTCCTACTTCTTTGCTAACTTGCTTAACCAATCAGAAACTCTAAGTGTTTTCTCACTGCTTTGGAACTGGAAATTAAAATTTCCAGAGTAATGAGATTACACAATGTAATACATATAAAATGTGTAGCATTATACCTGGCATAAAGTAAGAACAATATTTAACATACGTTATTTTTTAAATTGATTTTATATTAATCAACGTCATGTATAAATTTACCGATTATATCCAATGACGTAAAAATAATAAAAAATGTAAAGAACTTACAAAGTTAATTAATGTAAGAGAAAGAACCCACATATCAGTTATTTGAAACAGTCATTAGCAAATTAGTTAATACAGATGTTTGAAATTTTGTATCCATGAAGGTGAAATAGTCCCAAATATATGTTAAATAATAGGCAAGGTGAAACAGATTTTGTCTTCTCTTGGGTCAAAGGCCTCAAAGTTAAACTATGTTCTGTAGCTAGATGAAGCAATGTTTAAACAAAAGCATCCTTTTGCAAGAGCTTAGAATTTCAGAACATTGGAATACTCGAGGAACTTTTAGTAAATAGAACTGGATCTCTGACATGTGCCTATCTCGTGTCTGACTCTGCTGTTCTTATAGCTGTCAAAAAAGCTGGTCTTTTTTTTCCCCCACCTCCAAGTGCTTTCTTTGCTCTGTTTTTCACCTGATTTAACTAAAATTGCCCTTACCCATGTGTTTTACTATGGTCTCCTCTTTTGAGTTTTTGGTCAAGATTTTAGAAGTTTTAATTCAAGATCTACCATGCTATATCACTACCTGCAAAACAAAACAAAACAAACAACTTGTATTTTATTTGTCCTGAGAACGTTGTAGCCTGGGCTAATACATGCGATCAACCCCTACACCTATCAGGTGCCACATCTTTATCCCAAATACCTCTCCTATCCATTCCCCACTCCATCCCCTTGCAATGACCTTAGTTCAGAATCCCTTTGTCCTTGCACTTAATATTGTTCTTATGACCCCACCACGGCCTTAGCTTCTAATGTCTACCCCCCAAAATTTTTCTCTACCCATATTCTTACCATCAACATTTCTTTTCTAAATCAGGAACCTGCTAAAAGCCTTGGTAGACCCCTCCCCACACTCTTTTAAAAAATTGTTTTAAAGTACACATAAAGGAAAACTTACCATTTAACTATTTTTAAGGGTACAACTCAGCAGCATCATGTATATTCACAATGCTCTACAAGGATTACCACTATCCATTTCCAGAACGTTTTTGTCATCCCAAACATAAACTGTACCCATTAAAACACAGTTACTAATTCCTTCTCTTCCTAGCCCCTGGTAACTTTTATTTTACTTTATGTTTCTAGAAATTTGCCTATTCTAGGTAAATGGAATCCTACAATATTTGTCCTTTGGGGTCTGGCTTATTTCATTTAGCATAATGTTTTCAAGGTTCACTTAATGTTGTATCATGTGTCAGAATTTCATTCCTTAACTGGAATAATTTTCCATTTTATATGGAAAATAAGTTTAAAGTCCACTGAAGAAAAAGAATAAATTTGTGAATGATAGTAAATATGAGTAGCACACAGTCAGTCAGTAGTCGTTGTGAAGACTATAGAAAAGCAATTGTAATAAATAATGGGTAAAAAAGAAAAGTAACTTGTACATATCTACCAAAAATGTGTGTGCATGTGGACAAGGACTTAAAGGGAATAAACATATAAATTGTTTTTGGGTGGTGAAAGTATGTGTGATTTATTTCCTATTTCAGAATTTTCTTTAGTACCATTGACATATTTTTATTTTTATGCAAGTTTGAAAAAAACATAGAAGGCAATGGAACCACATAGTTAAAGATAAGAATTATGAAAACAAAAGAAACGCTATTTTTCTTTCTTTTTTCCCAGCAGTCCCATCACCTATCAAGTTTTCCTTTTTTTTTTTTTTTTTTTCCCAGTGGGGAGGAAAAAGCTCCCCATGTCCCACCATTCTGTGCATGCCCAATCCAATCACCTGCAAAGCGTATAGTTTGCAGTGAACCCCAAGAATGAGTTGTCGGACAACTCCAGCTGAGCAGGGTGGGAAGCAATTCTTCTGAGAATGGCGCCAACTATTAACTACAAACATCCACTAGATGGCCATTTGAGGTCGGTTACGGAGGCACCTGTGACCTTGTACAACACTCAAACCGCATTCTCAGGAGGCTGTTTTCAGTGTTTCTTTTCACACCACACACTCCACTCCCTGTTCTGTTTTCAGGGTCATGGAGTTTCATTTTCATGCACAAATAACATACACAGATTGCCTCAGTATTTTCCCATGCCTGACCTGAAATGCCTTGTACATAAGCTTGAATGTATTGCCATGCACCTCAACACCACCCACAGCTGTCAAAAAGAGTGCAAGGCAGATTATTCCAAAGAGAATAGCAGTTGACATTCCATAGTGCCAAACCCTTTCTTAGCCAAACGGGACTTTACTGAGAGCCCTCTTTTTAAAATATACATCAGTGCATTGTTGTTCATTCAGAATGTTCCACTGTAAGTTATCTTTAGTAAGATTTTGCTGTTTCTGTAAGACTTTGCTGCCTCCCAGACCTAATGTATAACCCAGAAGGAACTGTTTGCCAGAAATTAAGGATCCCACTTTTACCTAAAATACTGGCTTTACTCTCATGTTCTCTTGATTAAGTTAAGATTTTTCCTACCTTGGCGCATAAGAAAATTGAAACAAAGGTGTAAATCACAAAAATCCCTGTGAATTTTCAAAAGCCAAAATTTATAACTCCTGCAACATTACTGCTTACTACCAGTTCTTTTCTGACCCGGTCAGATGTAAGAGGCCTCTAAGTGGATCCAAGCCAGTCAATTCCCAGATCAAATTCGTGTCTCTGTTGCAACTCCAAACCCATTCTGAATCAGAAATTTGCTGAAAGAAACTCAGAGAGCTCAAAACACAAATGTGTGAAGTTCCGATATTTAAGTGGGAGCTTACCTGTAAGCCTCAACTAGTCTGAGAGATCAACAGGCACAAGAGGATCCTGCAGGTGCCTTCTGTGTTCACTCAGCACTCTTGGGGGTTACCAGAAAGTCCACTTCAGATCCTGCTTCTGACATCTGATAAAAGAAAAACTTCAGCTGAGTTAAATTTAAAGGAGTTTAATTGAGCAATAAACAATTCGTGAACCTGGCAGCCCCCCAGAATCACAGCAGATTCACAGAGGCTCCAGGGATATCTCGTGGTCAAAACAAATTTATAGACAAAAAAAAAGGTAAAGTGATATACAGGACCGGAAGTGAGGTACAGAAACAGTGAGACTGGTTACAACTGGGCGTTTGCCTTATTTGAACACAGTTTTAACATTCAGCATTCTATGAGTGGTTGAAGTATATGGCTGCTGGGATTGACCAACATTCAAGTACTATTCCAGGTGCACACTACTAAATTAGGTTTTCAATTTTGTCTATTAAGCTAGGTTACAGTTCACCCACAGGGACTCAAATGTAGAAGTACAGAGTCCTTTTTGGGCCATATTTAGTTTGCTTTAACACTTTGTAGCAAAATTCATTGAAAGGATTGTCTATACATGCTATCTCCAATCCCCCTCCTAGTCTTATTTAATTGGGTTTTTGCCACTATCATTCTACTGAAACACTTTTTAAAGCCATCAATGGTCTCTATGTTATTAAATCCAATGGTCCATTATTGCTTCTCATCTGAATAGATAGATCATTTTTGAATGGAATTTCTTCACTTGGTTTCCAAGACAACACACTCTCTTGGTTTTCCTTTAACTTCCTTGATTACTTCTTCTCAGTCTGTTCTGTGGACCCTTCTTTCTCTCACATTTCTTAATTTTGGATTACTTCAGATTTTAATCATTGGCCCTCCACACTTACTCTCTGGTGATCCCAATTGGTCCCATGGCTTTAAAGGCAATCTACATGCCAATGACTAGTAGTTTACCTTATAACTCAAACTCTTTTCCAAACTTAAGACATATATCTAATGGCCTGGTTGACATCTCTTGGATTCCATCCAATTGCCATCTCAAACTCATTATGTCCTAGATCAAACTCCTTATCCACCCTCTGTTCTGTTACTAAGAACAGGAATGATACTGAGCTTGGATTTGTAATTTGGAGGCAGGTTCGCGAGAAGAAAACACCAAGCTGAGAATAACAAGGTAAAAGAAGAGAATTTTATTTACAGAAGGTTATAGGTAAAGGAAGAGGATTTTATTTACAAAAGGTTATAGGTAAAGGAAGAGGATTTTATTTACAAAAGGGACATATCCAGAGACCGTCCGTCCGGACACTCAGCACCGGCGTTACAGCAGCACGGGCAAAACGCAAGTCAGAACTTTAAGCACTTTTTTTTAGCACCGGCATTACAGCAGCACGGGCAAAGCGCAAGTTACAGCTCTTAGCAATCTTTTTGTCTTTTTCTCTCTCCCTCTCCTCAGCACCGGCATTACAGCAGCACGGGCAAAACGCAAGTTAGAACTTTAAGCAATCTTTTCGTCTCTCTCTCCCTCTCTTTTTAGCACCGGCATTACAGCAGCACGGGCAAGGCGCGTGTTACAGCTCTCCGCAATTTTTTTCTTCCTCTCTTTTTCCCTCTTTCCGTTTTTCTTTGATTTTTGTTTATATTTTATATGTTGCAGTTTAACTTAGGTTATAGTAAACACCAGCTGCTTTTTGTCTTGTCTTTCACAAACATTATTATTATGTAACAGCAATTCTTGGCTTTGTTTACGGTTCTCAAAGGGACGGGAATTGGCCAGATTCCCGGCTCCTCGGACATAAGCCAGGGTTATTATGAGCTCCTAATGCCCCGGGCTTACTGCCAAAGAAATGATAACTTTAGTTTCCAAGGTTCAAGAAACTTAGAGCAAACACTGGGCATGACTTTTTTTATATTAACCCTACACCCTCTCCACCTAGCCTAGTTCACCTGTAGTTTTTCTCAACTTAGTTGATGGCAACTCCTTCTTTTCACCTGTTCAAATAAAAACTCTTAGATTTATTCTTAAGTGTCTTTTCCCCTCTCACTTTACATCCAATCCATTATGACATCCTGCTAATTCTGGTTGGGAGAAAATTCTTCATGGCCTCTCACATTTCTGCATGTTTTATGAGCAGAGACATTGACAGACTTTGCTCCTATCTTTTCAAGGATGTTTGAAAAGAGGACAGCTTGGAAGCTGGAGATAATTGCTTTCTTCTGAAGCAGAGGGCAGGTTTGCTTACTGTTCCTTGTAAGAAAGACAATGTCTTTCTCTGGAGTAAAGCTCAGACAGGTTTGCTTGGAGTTCATTATAAAACATCCAGGTTCCCTAAATTCAGGACTCCTTGGCTGCAACACACATCTATTGCATTGCAACATTAATCTGCCTTTCTGTATTTCCTCTGTAGGACTTGTGGAGCAAGAAGGACTGACACAAACACAGCAATAATTCTGCCTGCTGAATGAGTCATAAAATACTGTCTTTGACCCAGGAGGCTTGTGTCGTCTGCTAGCATTTATGAAATTGTGCACCAAGCAGAATAAACTTTTAGATGCTTCACAGTTTTTGGCAGTCTTTTCTTGGTGGAGAAAGTCTTTCGTCTTTTCTCAATGGAAAACCAAAACGCTACTTTTTTAAAAAAAGGCAGATTTTGTCATTCCTTTGTGCAACTCCTGCAGTTAACTCCCAATATCATTCAGAGAAAGAGATATAAATTCCTTATAACAGCCCTTTAAGTTCTCCATGACTTAGCCTCCAGTCACCTCTCTGATATCCCTCCAGTCACAACCCCAACCTCACTCTCTTTAGCCTCTCTGCTTCAGGCACTTGTCCTTTTTCTTCTGCCTGCATTCTGTCTTCTCATTAGACCTATAGAAAACTCAGTTTCCTTCTCTAAATCTTCATCTAAAAGCCACCTGCTCAGCCGGGCGCGGTGGCTCAAGCCTGTAATCCCAGCACTTTGGGAGGCCGAGGCGGGTGGATCACGAAGTCAAGAGATCGAGACCATCCTGGTCAACAAGGTGAAACCCCGTCTCTACTAAAAATACAAAAAATTAGCTGGGCATGGTGGCGCGTGCCTGCAATCCCAGCTACTCAGGAGGCTGAGGCAGGAGAATTGCCTGAACCCAGGAGGCGGAGGTTGCGGTGAGCCGAGATTGCGCCATTGCACTCCAGCCTGGGTAACAAGAGCGAAACTCCGTCCCCCCCAAAAAAAAAAAAAAAGCCACCTGCTCAATGAGGCCTCCTTTGACCATCCTATTAAAAATTACAAGTGCTCCCCTAATCTCTCTGCAATGCTCCTGGTTTTAGTTCTTTGATACTTTTTGAGGGATCTAGGAGTCCTTTACTAAGGAAGAAATTCATATAAAAT